AGGCAGCAGACACGCCGCTCGAAGAGTATGAGCGAGAAGCCCTTGAGAGGAGCGACAAGTTTGTCAAGTTTGGCACCGCGTATGTGATGGAGCATGCTACGAGGACGGCTACAATCGGGTTCGTGTTGTCGTCGAGTCCTCTAGCGCTGCTTGCTTGGTATTTTCACCCCCTTCATGTTGACAGACTCATTACTGATTAGCTGGGCAGGATTGGCGAGAAGTTCCTCACGTGGACGCACGAAACCCCCTCCATGGACGAGATACTCGCCTCCGTCACGCTGTACTGGCTCACCCAGACCTTTCCCCGCGGGATGTACCCGTATCGACAGGTACGTCATCCCCCAAAATGGTCGTGTTTTCAGTGTGGCTGACCCGTAGCAGGAAGTCATCGACGACACGCATGGGTCCATGACGGACGCGGAGTGTCGGCGGGTGATCAAGGACGGCGCGAAGCGGTACATGTTCCACCCCGACCCGAAGTATTACTGCGAGAAGCCGATGGGGTATTCGTGGTTCCCGTACGAGATTGTGCCGGTGCCGAAGGCGTGGGCGGCGACGACGGGGAATCTGGTCTGGTATCGGCCGCACGACAAGGTGCGTTTATGCATGTGGGCTTCCTGGACTTGAGGAACGGTTTGCTAACTGCGACAGGGTGGGCATTTTGCTGGTTATGAGCAGCCAGAGGCTCTGCTGGGTGACGTTGAAGACTTCTTGAAGCAGGTCTGGGTTTAGACAGCCGGGAGGCGGATGTGAGAGCGGTGGATTTCCCGGGGGAGTCTTGGGCTTGATAATGGAATATGCCTAGACAGTCACGTAGACAGGTAGACACTAAGCATTATGAATTATCGAAGAGTCCTTCATGCAAAGAAGACCGGCCTCTCCTTCTGGAAGGTCGAGCAGCGCAAGTCTTGGCATAAAATGAACCCAGGTATTCGGGAGCATCCACATGGTTGCGGCCCGACGTGAGGTGATGCGCTAAGCTGTGGATTGAAATCACGATGCGGTCACGGACCTTTGGTTTGCGGCAACGAAATGAGGGCATGGGGCGCGTGTGCAAGATCTATCTTTGTGCAGTGGACCGATGATGATCAGCGTCGCCTGCTCGTGCCGTCCAGCGATCGCCTCAGCATGAGACCGTGAGAGTGATGATCGAATGGAGAATCTGACGTCTGTTCATGCGAGCAGAGACATTTCTCTTACTTGACGAGCGGCAGACCGACGGCGGAAAAGGGTGATCAGACTGATAAGCGGCATGCATTCAAGCTTATTGAATAAGCAAACAAACATGCTTGAAAATAGTACGAAAAATTCGATAGCTTGTGCAGAGGCCCTGCGGTGGTTGACCCGACGGCAAACATTTAATGTCGGTTAATACCAAGTTTTCCCCGGCGTGGTCGACTCGGGGCAGTGATGGATGGAGCGGGGAGGTCGGGCGGGTGGCTCCAGGAAGAAACCCCTGCGAGCCCACAGGACGCAGTTCACTTCCCAGTGAGCCCACCGATGGCCGTGGCAGCGATGTAACGCCGAGTGCGAAGGTTCAGGAGGTTATCCGTAACCCTGAAGTGGCGGCGGGGCTTACACGAGATTTTCCCACAGTTTTTGCTGACGGGAATTGAGAGAAGACGGTTGATGTTGACGGTGGGAGGCGACACAACACGGATTTCCAGCGGCTGGCATTTGCACTGTTGTGGAGACAGGAATGGACGGGGGCCCAGATCGGTCGTGGTGTGCAGAATGCAGACTGATGCAGGACTAAAAAAGGTCGTGGAGCATTCCAGGCTTGATCGACGCGGAGGATGTTTGTGTCACCCGTCGAGTCGTGGATTGTGGTAGGCTGATGGCGAGAATAAAGCATTGCAGCTGGAGACCCGTCCCAACGGACCGAGACGGGCTGAGCCACAAAAGAAACGACAATGGCGTTTTGAACGGGCGAAGAATAATAAAATCTGGGGCGCGACGGTTGAAGAAAACAAAGGGGACGAAACGTTGGTGAAGAAGCGGGAAAAAAGAAAGGAACAAACTCGACAAAGAGGAGCCCAACGGTGGAAGGTGCAGCTGAAGCCTCAAGAGCACGCAACAACTGTTGGATAACGCCTGCCTCCCCTCGCAGGCGGAACTCGTGGGACAATGCAGCTAACGACTCGGTCGAGCCCACTCAAAGGGGAACAGCAGCCGGAGCAGAGGGCAGGAAGCAGCAGCCGTGTCCGGGGGGCGGACGGGGCCAGCAGGAAAGAACACATGGCCGAGCAAGGGAGCCGTCCAATGCCGTGGGCGGGATTGCACGAGAGCACTCCACATGATGTGGATACTTCGCAGGTAATGTGGATATGGGTGGAGATGCATTCATTCGACGCCACGGCCCAAAGGGGAAACGATGGGCAGGGACTGACAGGGAAGGAACAAGGCATGAACCAGTCCGTCGGGGGACCGTCCCAAGCGTGTCTTCCATCCCAGACCAACCAATGGGCGGCTGTGGCTTCCCTCCAGAAGGTGGGAAAGAGCCATGCAGAGCCATGCGCCTGCAGCTGTCGACTGGTCCAGAAACCCACCCACTTGTGGATGTGGACACTCAGTGTGCTGCGCTGATTTGGCTGTTGGTGCAGCAGGTGCAGGTGAGAGTCTCCATGTCACTTTGTTCCTTCCATTCCTTCTTACCTCAAGGTATGACGGGAAGTACCTACCTCAGGTACGGTGTTGTTGCTCTTGCTGCTTCTGCTACTGCTGCGGGAGCGAGTCGCCAACCTTGGAAACTGCAATTCACTTCCACTTCCACTGCTCCTACCTTCCGGAGTACCTTACGTTACCGCTGGCCGAATCCTTCTTTTTCGTCTTCTTCCCTCCCCCTCCTTTTCTTTGCATCTGCATCTGCATCTGCACCTGTCTGCACCTGCATCAACATCTTCCACCACTCACTCTCACCCAATCTTTTCCCGCTTCCTTTGTCATTCCTTGAAACCCCCCAACAGCCAAGCCGCCGTCAATCGTCCAGTCCACCCCGATTCAGTCGAGTCGACTACAGATACGGATACCTCATACACACAGACACACACAGATAGAGTCCGAGTTCCAGCCACTCGCTGCAAATACCTCACTCACCCTACCCTCGCTCAATACCACCACCAACCACCAGTCCACCACCCACCTCACGGTACCGTACCTTACCTTACGGATACCGCACCAAACCAGACCAGACCAACCAGGTGGTCCAGATTCAGTCCCGGTCAAGTCCAGTCCGGCCCATTCGCTCGCTCGTTCTCTCTGTCTTTTAATACATTACCACCTCGAGGCCTCGAAACCCGGTGTTTCGACCTCCTCTCGTCCCCTCCCTCTCTCTCCCACTCTCGCACTGCCCGCAACACAGACATCACCGTCTGCCACCCGCATCGTCCGTTCTCTCTCTCGACGAGTCTGAGCACCCGCCCCAATCAATTCCCGACGCGGCATCCCAACGCAAACGAACCAGGAAAAAGGGGGAGACACCCTGACCGGTTACTTCGCATCCATCAGAGACATCTGTGTCACAACCTTGCGACAGTCATTCCACGCATTCCACCCGCCGCGATAAGCTTTTCGTCCGATCAATTCGCCCTTCCTACTTTACCTCCTGCATCTGCCACCGACCACAGACTCCGTTCCTCCACCTCTGCCATCTGTTGTACTACACTGTCCTCACCAACACGCAATTGAGTTTGGACACTCCCGCCGTCAATCGCACCTTACCACCGCACGAACCTCAGGAAGGCACATTAATCCACCGCAAACACCACTGTTGCAGTCGCGACAGCACAAATAATTCAAAATGGCTCCCGGCATCATCGAACGCATCCAGCAGAAGATCGAGCTCTTCCGTCTCGAGCAGCGCTACACTCGTCGCCGCCATCGTCGATCCACCTTCATGTCCAACGCTGTCTACGTCGATGGCGAGTACGTCTATCAGACCCCCAACTCAACTGGTTCCTCCTCGTCCGGCAGCACCAGCAGCAAGGGCGTCAACGCCCTCCACCACGCAGAGCCCGTCTCTCCTACCGTCGCCCCGTCACAGACCGAGCCCAGCAAGAAGCGATTGAGCCGCTTCTCCTCCATGCCCGGCTTCGGCTCAGTCTCAAGCAAGCAGAGCCCGACCCAGGACTGGCGGACAAGCAACATTACTGTCGACGAGGTCAGGCGGTAGAAGCCCATTGCCGGAAAGCGTTGGACGAATGAAAATAAAAAGGTGGACGATACTCGGGTCAGGACGGCGACCCATGACACGGCGACATGACAACACTCGGGGCTAGTCTTCGAGGTGCGACGACATTGCTGGAAAAGCAATTGGCACATTGCTCTTACGACTCTCCTCGGTCACGTCTCTACAGCGGCGCATTGCAACTGCATTGGGGGTGCCTGTTCTTGATCTTATTTTTCTATGTTTGGGAAGACCTCAGTAGACCTCAGCGGTCGATGCCGCGTCGCATAACTGCACACGGCACCCCAAATCACCAGATGTCGCGACGACGACGACACTGGATCTTGCTTGTCTGGATACATTACACCGACTTGTAATTTTGACTATTGCTCGGGATACCCACCGGCATACCGGCGTTTAGCACGCATTTTTCTCTTGTACATATCCAAAAGGATTATATGATTACTTCCATCACACTCTTGCTTGCCTCTGTTTTTCGTGATGATTGCTGACGTTAATTGCAAGGGCGCACAGGGGATGTGCAGGAATGAGATTGAAATTGCAAACGCTGAAGCCGTTCCGTGTCTCAGACTTTTGGAGCCGTGTCGGCAATGATCGGCCTTGCGTTTGCTCAGCCACGCCGCCCACGCGACGTGTGCGGGCAGGCACCTTGAATGATCTTCCCGGATGCACCAGCGACACTTGGCAGTTTGACCTAATGTTTCCCGCAGGCGTGTGCCTCATGCAGACCCTTGCGGGGATGAGCAGTCCCAAGCTCCCGCAAGTGCTTGGGATGATGTTGGGTTAGCCTTGGTATTCTTTGACAGAGTCTTGTTCACATCAAGAACAGGGGTGCCCCGTCGAAGAGGACATCCCAAGACGTCGGCTCGTGGCCGTTTCTATGCGCTCGGCTCAACTTCTCCACGAGACGGGCACCGTCTATCATGCTGACCGTGCCCAGCTCTTCGCCGATGGACTGCATTCCCGAGCACAGGTACCCGGCGGCTTCGTCGTCGTGACGGACGAGCGCGGCTTGGATGCCGCCGACTACCATCGGCCAGATGACGAACTTGTGTAACAAACCGGCGCTGGTTGCGGGGGGAACTGATCTGTCTTGGATTTCCCGCCGTTGGGCTCTTTGGTCGAAGAGGATGCGAATAGAAAACATGAGTGCTTCATACGCTGCCGCCTCTCTAGAGACAAGGGATGACATTGACTCTTGGGAGGATGCGACAGCTCTCAGAGACGTCTCGCCTAGTCCCGCCAGGCTATTGATGGCGTACAGTACCGTGGCGTTCAGGAAGGCAGTCATCAGGGCTATCCACGCTGTCCTCGTCTCGACGTCTTCACTCAGTCGGCCGGGCGCCAGCCAGACGGTGGCATTGGTCGCGACTTCGGCAGCCCAGGCATCGGGCGACGCAGCGTCGAGGAACTCCAGTACTGCCAACAGGCCCTGCGTGCGCGATTCCGCCGACGGGAGCAGAAGATTCTCTGCGCGCAGCATGTTGATCTGGTTGATGGTCCTGGCCAGCCCGTTCGGCATAAGCGTCCACGGGTTGGCGATATCAACCATGCTCTCGTCAAAGATCATCGCGTAGGGTGCGTACCGCGAGAGAACTACCTTAGCTGACGCCTCCGTCAGACCGTTCGTCGATATGCCGAATATGTCCACGACGGCGACTTGTTGTAATACGCGGCAGAGGTCCGTACTCGCCTTGGCTAGCACTTCCATGCCGCCTTGCGCGGCTATCAAGCTCCATGCTCCGTGAATGTGAGCCTGCCACGGCGCGTATGCCGAGTATTGGATCTGTCCCCAGGTCAGCAAGGCGGCAGTGAAGAAGTACTTGGTGAATAAAACCTGTGATGAGAGCATCAACATGATGCCAAGCAAAATCTCCGGCCCCGCCCCGGCGCCGTTCTGGTCGGACTGGTGCTTCCCGAGTTCCTCACTCAGCGCCCTGATCGCGGCAGCTTGCGACGCGAAATGCACACTCTTAAAATCCCCCGCCGCTATGAGCTCCGAAATGTCCGACCCGTCGGGCGACGGGGCCGCCGACCGGACGGCCCCGGGGCTAACCCGAGACACGCCCGCCGGCTCCCTGCTGACGAACCTATGCAGTGCCGCTATCGAAATGTACGATTTGCGCACGTACTCCGCCAACTCCCCAATCTCACTCGGGGAAATCTGATACGGACTCCGCTCCGTCGCGTACGGCACCAAATCCGGAGCTACATGCAAATTATCTAGCATACCCATCAGCTCCGTCCCGGCGGGATGTGATCAAGGCAGGGAGGGAGGGGAGGGTCACCCACAATACTCAATCGCATCCGCCGCAATGCGCAACTCCACCTCGGACCGTACGCTCCGCGGCGCGCGGCACACGATGCCCATCACGCTCGCGCGCCCGAGGCCCGCCTTCTCGTGGGCGCCGTTCTCGCGCACGCGCACGATGCCGTGGGACGTGAGGAGGAGCGGGTTGCGCCAGGCGATGGGGCGGGTCGGGGCGTAGCCTGGGCAGGCGACGGAGGCGAGGGCGCATTTGCGGCAGGAGGGGAGGGAGGAGTCGCAGCGTAGACGGCGTTTGCGGCAGCGCCAGCATTGGGGGCCGAGACTCATTGTGAGGGACGCCACCGGAGTGTGATGAGGTGTGGCTGTGCGGGTGGGATGGGGATGAAACTTGGCTGAACAGATGAGAGGATGAAATGGGAGGGAGAGGGAGGAGAGTGAGGATTGCGGACGGGGTTGCGATGGCCGAGGCGGAGGGGGTGGAGGGGAAGCTTATCGGCAGTTGGGACGCGGGACGGCGATGTCGGCCCCCGATGGCCCGGGCGTGAGGTGTGGGGTTGCCAGTTTCCGGAAGTTTAGCGACTACGTTTGGATGACGGCTTGAGTCGCTAGAGAAGCTCGTGATGGGACTCCATGAGCCTCGATCAATTTCTGGAGTAATCTACATAGCAACCATTCTCATGATGATTGCCTCTCATGTGTAAGTCGAGAGGCTTCCTGCGAGAATGAAGTTGTATTTCATCTGATGTCTAAGGAAAATGTCACCCATCATCACCCGCACCCGTTAGCTGCCAAAGTAAGTGGGAATAAGTCCTGCCATCGGTCTTTCTTATCACTCTGAGCCACCAGACGCGGGTCTTGAATCTTGATGCGAAGTATGTTGTTCCATGCAGGCGCAATGTTAGATCTCACCATCGCGCTGCTTCTTCTCCCTCTTTCTTCTAGGTACAAGTCATTAATCACTGATCCAAGTCTGGGAAAAGAGTTCGGGCATACTCGCTGAGCTTCTTCGCCCCCGCAGCACCAGCCATAGCGCCTCCGATGGTGCTCAGGATACCCCCGCCGAGTAGATGTGCGGTCAGGCCGCCGGTCGTGGCGCCGATGATGCCGGCGCGGCTGGATTTGTCTTCTTGGATGGGTTGAGATGTTTGGGGAGTGGATTGGTAGGGAGGTGGATTGGAGAGTTGAGGGTGTTGATGGGGAGGTTGAGTGGAATGAGTAGTGGTGGTGGGTCGAGGGGGCTGCAGCGTTGTCAATGGTTCTTGTATTCTACCTAGTGGTAAAGGGGCTTGGGTTACAGACCTGGGGAGGAGATAACTGCTCCTTATTGGAGGCTGAGTTCTCGGACGTGGAATTGTTCATGTAGTTGTTGGTCGACATGATGTTATTGGAAGTGATGGTTTTGCGAATTAACTAAGCCGCGTTGAGGTCAAAGATTAATGGACTACACATATGCTGGAGGGACTTCATGTGAGAGATTGTAATCTTGACGAGATAGCGGGCTTTATAGGATTCTAGTCGTCTGCTAGGCAGCCATCTATGCAGTCATCGTCGTCATTTCTAGCTGGACAGAACACATAAGTAGCCGTTTCAGTCAACGCCGGACCATGATGACGTTGGAGGTGCTGAAGGATCTCGGGCCCGAGGGTCCGGGCCTTGATCCGGATCTCCCGGGGCCTTGGTAAGAGCAGATCATCGAAAAGAAACAAGGTCAACGCATCCGACATTCTGTGCAAGCACGCAATTTCATTGGTAAGAGGAGAGGTAAAGGGCGGTGCGAGGGACAAGCATCAGAGAACACTTAGGTACCTCGTAGAAGCCTTCAAAACTGTCCTCGGATGGCCAAGTAGTGCTGCCTCGGAGGCTGGTTATTCCCCTATCTGAAAATAATCATGACTTACAGGAAAAGGGAAAAAAAGACAATCTACGTACAACCGTGTTTCCGAATGCCTAGCACTCTTTGATTTCCATTCCCAAAGCCATATTACTGTTCCTTTTGAGTATTCCGCTCGGAATTTGTCATACCCTGGGCGGCATCTTCGGTCGTGATCTCCCAACCCGCAAGGTCCGCTTTCAGTTCCTTGCAATGTATTTTTAGCCAGTCTAAAATTTGAGAATAATTGTTGTTCTTAGATGCCCGCAACTTTGCATCGTCAATATAGTTGGTCTTGTTCCATAGCTCACATGTAGAGAGCTTCGTTACGTCGACATCACGACGAATAGCGAGAGCTTTGACAACTTCCAAGTTTCCAGCTTTTACCGCATGACATAGTGGGGTGGCACCGGTCTCTTCCTCCTGGTCTGGCAGGATTGAGGCTAAGTTCAAGACCAAACGTACTGCATTTGGTCCAGCATGGATCACCAGCCAATGCAACGGTATTTGGCCTTCTTCACCTGGCGTGTTGAAGTATTGATCTGGAAGCCGCGATAGAATCAAGCGAAAAATGTTCTCATTTTCGTTTGCGTGGGTTAGTGCAGTCCTCCAATTTTCGTCAGACGCCGTTAGGTCAACTCCAGGATAGTCGAGCAAGAACTGAACCACGTCGTATTTACCATGCTTTGCTGCTTGCATGAGGGGTGTCACGCCTGAAGCGTCTGTTGTGTTGACATAGTCCTCATCGTCGGAGTGAAGAGAAAGGATGTAATCGACCATGTGCTTGTGTCCATTCCTGGCTGCACTATGCAGCGGCAGGTAACCGTACCACTCTCCTATCGCCGATTCGGCCTCGTCGCACTTCAACAACTCGCGATAGCAATCGATGGAACCTATGGATGCAGCAGAGTGAAAAGCGCTGAAATTATCCAACGTTAGCAGCCATTCTCCGTTGGGATTGTCTTTTACGAGTGTCCGCACAATCCGGGGCTTGTTGCACAAGACTGCAACATGCAGCAGTGGCAGGTGTTGAAAGTCCTCTACGTCACCACCCGCCAAAGTAAGAAGATTGACACAATTACTGTCTGAATTCCACAATTCAGCGAATCTGGTGATGGGGAAGGGAGAGGTTTCGTTCCCAGGGTGCATAATGTAACCCCGAACCCAGATACGGATCAAGGGTTCAGTTAGAAGTTCCTGAGATATAACCAAGCTATAAGCAGGTTCAAGTTGAAGACCGTCGAATAGCCATTCAGGATAATGAAAAAGGCTGAAGCGTGCTGCCCATCCTGACCGCCCAGGTCCAAGCTGACTCAGGAGCCGGTCCAAACGCTTGAAGTCGCAAGACCCGCGATGTTGAATGTCGAGCCTGAGTTTCCGAATAAGATGGCGAATTTGTACGCCAATAGGCAATTCGGCCAACGATTCCTCGGATATCGGATCGTGTCTAGGGACTGCAAAGTCTTGTCCAATAGCCACATGGGCGTTTTCGTATAAAATTCGATCGGCCATCGTAAGACTTGCTGAGTGCCGACGACCCCGCAACAAACTTTGAACATCTGCCACAAGCTCCAGCATATATTTTCCTAGCATCGAAGCATCTGTAGAGGAGATGGTGGCGAGAACCTCGTCGTCAAATGCCAAATTTAGATTCTCGAGGTGGGAGTTTGCTTCAGCAATCAACGACCTCTCATGATTCAACAACTGAACGAATGTGACCAGATTCGTCCTTGGCAGTGTGAGTCGTGTGAACAGTTCTGTGCCTTTATCCCTGGAGAACTCACATGTCGGCGAAATCCCAGCTCTCTTGAACATCCTCAACCTGCGGCTCGGCAGATTCTTGGGCTAACTGAAATTCGAGACTAGGTCTTTCCGAGACTTGATATCCCCGGTGCGTTGGTTCCGACCGGGAAGAGATAATTGAAATTGGCGATACCTTCCTTCTTGCTCGTCGTTTGACTTCTGCAGGCGAGCATTCTAAGCCTTTGCTGGAACAGCGCTCGCATTTATTTGGCCAGACTCGAGGCTGTGGGCTGCACTGTGACAACATGTCAACACCAGCCCGAAGACATGGGTAAAGGTAAATGTCTGATAAGGTGGTAACCTACCTTCACTTTATCCTTGCGACATCTCGCACACTTTGAATTATCCAGCTTTGGCCTTGGATCTCGCTTACGCTTCGTCGACGCCGTCGGTTCTGTGATGGCTTGTTGTAGTCGCAACGCCTCGACCAACCGAGCCTGCTGCTCATGAGAGGGATGCGGTGGCACTTGAGGAAAGGTCCTATCAAGGACCTCAATAAGGCGGGTCAAGTCTTGCTCGGGCTGCGGGAGAGACATCGCAGATGGATATACGCTTGATATTGAAGGAGATAATGTCTTGGCAAACCGCCTCCCAAGAGTACGGGGCAGCTGAGATCGGCTTGAGTAAAATAGAAGTGCAGTCGAGATAATCCGGTTCCGTAGGTGAATACCAGATGATACAATTCTCTCTGGTCGTCACGTGCGAATAGAGGGAGGAGTGTGATAGCCTGATACTAGACAAAGAGTGACAGAGCTTGCAGTTGATACGAGTAAAAGACCAAGTAAGTGCGACGACCAAAGTGCGATGGTGTAGTGCGGGACCTGGACTAGAAATAATCTGCCTACGCAATCCAGAGCAGCAGGCCACCTTGTTCCGTTTGGAAGAGTTTGGGGCACACCGGGGGATGTCATTGGATATCGCACTTCACTCAAGTAATGTGCGACATGAGTGAGACCAACAATCGGCGCGTGGGCTACAGCAGCGTCTTACTGGCGAAAGAGGCGGTGTTCCATATAAGCCACATGCGGGATGCATGCTGGCGTATCACTCACCATAATTACAACCCCCCTGCTGGATATGCGATCGCATTTTCGTCGCACTTCGTCAGCTACCGGGCGACACTGACGTGTACCTAAGGTGTGCATACCTTGGGACCCAATTGCCAACCCAACTCTGCATCCCGCAAGCATCCTGCATCGCACTTATCGCACATCAACCCCTAGTTCCCCATAGAGCACGTCCCCTTGACTCTTGCCTGCCTGTTCTAGCATCCTGCAGTAGCCGACCTTGGCACGTTTATCATCGTGCATTTTCTGGCCGCCCCCCCTGTGGCGGGCAGCATGGGCTGAACCCATCGCGTCGAAAGATGAGCACGCATCGCACATCATCGCATCTATGCAGCTTCCAGGACAAACCCTCCTAGGCTGCCTGCCCCTGTTGCTGAGCCCCGTTTCCTGGAGAAGGCTGCGCGCTCGTCATCATTAAGACGGTTGACTCCAAGAATCGTGTAAACGGAGGATGGAGGCCAGGTTCTTGCAGATAGCCCATGCAGCTAGCCCGCCCCTTCCCGCCCACCGCTGCCTCTTCTGGGTCCCCTGACATGGAGGTAGGTGCAATTTCAAGTGCGATGAGCTTCTAATCGAGCAGATCCCTGCCACCCTTTGGAGAAAATTGGCGGCCCATGTGGCACGCAGTGACCGGGGAGAAAGGGACGCCCAAGTATCAATACTGATCTTCTCTGCGATTCTGTGAACATGATTGGCTTCGCAACTGGCATCGCACATCACACATGCGACCGCAGTATGTTGGGTCGCCCAGTCTCGGTGCGCCGTTGTCAATACTCGAGCTGAGGCCATCGCACTTCCATCGCACTGTCAGGTTCAACGATGTTTTTTCAAGCCCAGCCAGGGCCTACTGCGCCAACAGCTCCTCGATTAAATCAAGGTCCGAATGATTTAAGTATCTGAGGACCTCATTACTTGAGCAGCGTATTCTTGACCCTTTCTTTCACCATCAAGACATTCAACATTTGATTACATATCTACATTTCAAGTACAATGATTATCCCCACTGCCACCACCAGCCTTGCCCTAACCATGGTTCCAACCGCGACCTTCGGATCACAGTTCACTGGGACTGCCTCCGCATCATCGTTCGCCTCCCTCGGCATCAACGAGATCCTTACTATCGCCTTCGGAATCGTGGCATCGCTCACTGCAGTCATGGCCGTTATGATCGGCTGCATACAACTTAAGCGGGCTCGGTCACCTCGACCCGCTGGAGACCGTCGGGTCAACGCCGGCAACGTGGATGATATCGAGCTACGGCCCGTCCGGGGCAACGCTAGGGCAGCTTCAGCACCGCCCGCACCGGGCCGTACCTCAGAAGGGTCCACTCCTCCGGGAAGCAATCGGATGAAAAACGGGTGAGACCCCCTGCACAACTTTTTGTATTCCATGCATGCTGACTTGGGACAATTCACCAGAGCAACCATGTAATTCGACCCGGGCGCATCTGCATTTCGCACATCGAAAATACACAAGAATTGTTGCTTGGGAGCATAAATTCGCTGGCTACGTAAAAGATGGGATAGCTGGGTTTTGAGCAATCGCAAGGTCCTAGCAACCGGGCGCTGGGTGTTGGGCTAAAGTCACATTATGGCAGAGAGCATCGTGTTTAGATCAGAGGGTGCATCTTTATTGTGTAAGGATAGATTATCGGACTGGAGTCTTTGAATTCGAATCACTCATTGTGCTGCCAAAATTTGTCACACGTGTCGACGGTGTATTCGAACAGGAGTCGCCAGCGGAATTGAAGCCCGCACACGGTGAGATGAGCACAACAGACGACAAAATCCCCCACCGCAACACTTATCGACCTGAACCTGTTCGATTCCCTGTCAGACGCCACCAACCAGTGCGGAAGCCCTCTTCGCTCCGGCTTACCTGGGCCTCTCATTACTAATGTCAGCCATTCATCTCCTGTCGCTTGAATGCGCCCAGGCTGATTTCCGCCCCCGATTCCTTCGGATTACGGAATCTGAAATCCGGTCTCCCACACTGCCGCCAAGTGCACCAAAGTTCCGTGAGGCGTCGCCTGAGATCCCACTCTTTCCCATCACCAAACATGGAGAAACGACGAAGGGCACCTGGTCACGCAGCACCGTATGGACAGTCATGCACGAGCTGCGTCAAGTCAAAGTGCAAATGCATCTTGCGCGCTGATGGCGATGGATGTGAAAGGTTAGTGCGTGCATCAGCCCTTCATGGGATGAACACCCAGAGATGGGACAAAGTTGGCATCTTGGTAACACGGCGCACAGATGTCACCGTCTCAAAAAGGCGTGCCACCCTGGCGATTCGATCCGTCGGCAAGCCGCCGACAATACCCAAAGGGCAAACGCGCGAATTGCTGATCTCGAGGGCAAATTGTCGAGTCTCGTGTCACTACTGCAGGAGCGCAATGTTATCGACAGGAACGTATCGACGACGTCTGACACCCGAGCAGTCTATGATGAGCCGCATTTGAGAGAGGCAGATGAAAGCGACGGGCTAGATAACAACACAGCTCGCGACCTAAACTCCCAAGAACAGGACGATGAGCTCCAGTATACCGCCTCCGTGCTCTCACCTCCACTTACTGGATCTCCCGCTTCACAGATAGCGCCCACCCCTCTGACCGCGGTATCGGGACCATCGACCGGTGGAAGCGCTGAAGACTTCGAGCGCTTCCGGTGGCTGATGCTTCCGAATTTCCCCTTCATCTACTTTCCGTCCGACATGACATTAGAGAAGCTACAAAGACAACGCCCTTTTCTTTGTGAAGCAATCCGATGCGTAACCCCTCTGTCGGCAAGCGAGAAGCGGACGCGGGCACGTAAGCTAAAGCAAATTCTCGGCGAGATGATGTTTCGTGAAGAGAAAACCTCCAGCAAACACGCGTCTATGGACCTTCTCCTGGGGCTTTTGGTATACATCGCCTGGGGATGGCATCACGTTCTTTCAGGCTGTAGCTTGACAAGGCTGATGACTTTTGCCACGACTTTGGTCGGGGAAATGCGTTTGGACAAACCAGCAAGGGGACTGTCGTACCGAATGCAATTCTTCGCCCCAGGAATTCAACACGATGATAACGAGGAAAGCGAGATGACAACGACCCAGGTTCTGGAGTCTCAGCGTGCAGTTCTAGGTTGCTTCGCTCTTAGCTCTGCCGTATCAGCCTACTTCGGCGAGATGGAGCCGCTGAAATGGACGTCTCAGATGAACGCGGGTCTGGCCGCTCTGGAAGCTCATCAGGATTTATCTGACAAAGCTTTGGTTTTCCAAGTTCGTCTTCAACTGCTGGCCACCAGAAGCGCACAGTTCGACCCCCAGGCCTCAATGACTGGACTGCCATCAACGGCTGTCTTGGAGGGACAAATGTTTTTGTCACAGCTACAAGACATTAGGGCATCTATGGAGTCAGAAAATCTGCCTAAACGAGGTGATAATAGATCAAAGCCCCGTTCTCGGAGCAAACACTAACCATGAGCTTCAGGTGTACTCCAGGCTCACACACACTATACCGAACTCCGCATCCTCGAAGCAGGATCACAAATTAGACCCCACGAGCCTTCGGAGATGTGTCCTGGACCTTTAGCCAACATAGCAGCTCTCCCAAGCGATAACGTCTTTTGTCTTTGGAAAGCAGAACTCGCCGTTAACGCCTGCGCGAGGGCCCTCCTGTGTCTACCCGACTCCGCCTTTCTCGGCGTGTCGTTCATACAGTCAATCCAGTGGTCTCACCTCGCCAACTGTATTGCAATACTTTGCCATCTCGCCAAATCTTATCACCACCCTGGCGCGGATCCTGCTGTAGAGAGGGCCATCGGCGAGCTTCCCGGTGTTCTGGATCGCTTGGCTGATAGGTTGAGTGCTGTTGCTGCCGAAGCTGGGGAGAACGGACCAGATGATGTGCTTACACAACTCGCGGATGGGATGCACAAGTTTCGTTCTTCGATCGATGTGGATGCGGACAATTCTGGGGTAGAATCTGGGTCGGGTACTGCCACCTCAACGGTGCCATTCCGGAATCCTGGGGCGTGGTTGGGGCATATCTGGGATGATTTGAGTTCGTAAACGTAATATTTCTATATAATTAATGAGACTTCACTTTCTATAAAATTGAGAAAGTCAGAATCATTTACAGTTGATTGCGTAGGCAGTAGTGATTATTCAAGAAGGGCTCCAGACGTGGGTGGGCCTTGGCAGACCGGATTTCAGAATCCGGCCCGGATGACACTCGGTGAGATTTCACACCCGTTGTGCCCCTTTCGTCCCGCAACGCCTTACCGGGCAGACTCCAGGCCGAAATTCAGCTGATAAATGCAATAAGGAAGTAGAATTTGGACGAATGTCGCAGATTAGCGGAAATTCGAATCACTCGCCCGCAAATCCTGTCCGAGATAGCGCACTTATAAAGATGGCCTCCCGGCGGTCCGCATTTTGGCTTTACTATCCATCACAAGCTAAACATATCGCAAGAAGTCTTAGGCTAAAAGACTTATTTTTCCATAAAAATGGCCGTCTCATCTTCCGACTCAACCAGGCCACCGAAGGCTTCCGTTACTGATCAGCAACCGCTAGAAACTTTGACTGACACCTCTCAGCAACAATCGGATGCCGAGAAAAGTGGATTGGAGGGTCATGCGGGGCCTGAAGATGTACCAAACTATCCCAGCGGTATCAAGAGGGCCTTGATAATTCTCCCACTCACCATGGCCTACTTCCTCCTTTTTCTTGACCTAGCCATTGTTTCAACCGCGACCCCGGCGATCACCTCGCGCTTCAACTCCCTCATAGACGTGGGCTGGTACGGTGGCGCATACCAACTGGGGAGCTCTGCGCTACAGCCTTTGAGCGGCAAGATTTACCAGCACTTCTCTGCGAAGGTGAGACGTCCGAGGCCCTAGGGCGTACCCCATTCTGCGGACCATTAACAACGCTGCACAGTGGTCTTTTCTCGCCTTCTTTGCCATATTCGAAATTGGTTCGCTGATATGTGCGACTGCGACATCTTCATCCATGTTCATTGTCGGAAGGACTATAGCTGGTGCGGGATCCTCGGGTCTCGCTAATGGCGCCTTGACGATCATCTCCTGTATCATGCCCACTCGAGAACAAGCGAAGTTCTTGGGCCTCAACATGGGTATTGGTCAGCTTGGCCTGGCTTTGGGACCTGTGGTCGGCGGATTGTTCACGGAATATGTCTCATGGCGCTGGTGTACGTCGTACTGCAGTGACCTCGAACCCCTTACTTTGGAACAGTCTACAGACACTGACGCATTTGATCCAGGTTTCTACATCAATTTGCCGGTCGGCGTCCCAGTCTTTGGGCTCATCCTCCTGTTCCGTATTCCCGATGCCCAGCCTAAGCTCCCAATCCGACAAGTTCTCGGCACGGCGGTCAAATCCTTGGATCTCCCCGGCTTCATGCTCATCAGCCCGGCGGCCGTCATGTTTCTACTTGGACTACAATATGGAGGCAACCAGCATCCTTGGGACAGTTCGGTTGTCATTGGACTTCTTGTGGGCGCTGGAGTCACCTTCATCTTGTTTCTCGTCTGGGAGCACCGCCAGGGCGACGCGGCCATGGTGCCATTCGCTATGCTAAGGCATCGTATCATCTGGTCCGCAGCAGGAAACCTGTTCTTCCTGCTCTCAGCTATTCTTGTTGGCGATTTCTACCTTTCGATATACTTCCAGGCTATCATGAACGACTCGCCTTTCATGAGTGGAGTTCATTTATTGCCGACTACTCTTGGAATGGTCCTGTTTACCATGATTTCGGGTGTTATGAGTACGGTTCCAAAGTCTCAACTGTCAATAGTGCCGGGCTGACTTTTTGTCCTTAGTTGAAATGCTCGGCTACTACCTTCCTTGGGTAGTGAGCGGAAGTTCAATCACGGCCATCGGTTATGGGCTCTTATCGACTTTGAGTCCGACAACTCCTGCCGCGAAGTGGATCGGGTACCAAGTATTCTATGGGGTGGGAAGTGGTGCAATGGCATCGTCTGTAAGTCTGCTGACTCTACACGTCTTGATTGAATAATACTTACCATCTTGTGTGAAGGCTTATATTGCCGTCCAGAACCTCGTTCCGACCGCTCAGATCCCCGTCGCTATGGCCATCATCATCTTCACGCAGAACATCGGTGGAGCCATCACTCTTCTTGCCGCAAACTCCGTCTTCAGCAATTCTTTGAGAAAGGAACTACAGGAGCGGGTCGCCTTGATTGGCATGGAGCCGGATGTGATCATCAATGCTGGAGCTAGCTCCGTGCGCAAGCTCGCTTCGGGCGACCAACTCCGCCACACACTGCAGGCCTATAGTAACAGTGTTGACAAGGTCATGTATCTGGGCGTTGCCGTCAGTATCGCTACCTTTGCGTTTGCGTGGGGTCTTGGATGGAAGGACATTCGAGTTGAAAAGAAACTGAAGGCCATTAGGTCCGAGGCAGATGGAGAACAGTCACTGAAGAAGTAAGACGTGGAGGGTTCAGCATCTGCTACCCGTGTAACGACCCAACCGTCAAATTGTTACGAAGCTACTAGCAGACTGATAGAGTATACAAGCTCATTAAATGGAGCGGAATCGATCGACATTTACTGATCCTGAGGCGGAAAATAATCTCGACGGGGTATTACAATAGCCCCGGTAACGACGTAGCATTCGCAGGAAGACATGATTGGCGGTTATTGAGGCCCAATTGGGCGGAAATCGAAGTATCCTGGAGTAGCATTAAGGCGCAGTGGAGGCCCCATGGTAGGTGGAAAGCCTGGGACTGGAGGTCGCAGATATGGCGTAAAGTCGAAGCAATTCTTCGTACAGTGCCTAAACATGATGACTGGCTTGAACTTTGGCATAGCATCGAGTTCGGCCATAACCCACGGATGACTCTTGTTCCAATGTCGGCCTTTCAAGTTGATCCTGGCAGGGTCGAAGATTTCCACATCTGCTGGCGGCTCCCAGAGCAGCTGCTTCGGACCTTGTATGCGGGCCCAACTCTCGGTGTACCTGTAAAATAGCCAAAGATCGCAGACATCTTCGCGCCATGTATGCACTTGATGCTCGAACGCATCTCTGTTCAATATCTCGCGGAACAAGATCTCAGATTCACCGTCCCCGACGCCATGTCCGATAAATGGCAGCCCATCCTCCCATAGGCGGTGCATCCTTTGCAAAGTTTTGTGATCGAAGGGACTCACCAGCCTTATTGGACTGTGGAATAGATGTTTTCCGTCGACCAGTTGGGCTGGAGCGTGTATGTTGAAGCTCATTAAGCAGACAAAACATTCTTTGAGAGACCCCAACAGCTGTAAATTTTGGACCCATCTCTGGCGAAGAAAAGGTTTTCCATGGTAGTCGCGCTCTAGGCCGTTGAAGAAGGTCTCCAACAACAAGAGCTCGTTCGTGATCGAGACACTCTTTGCGAATTGAGCGCAGGCTTTCAGAGAGGGTACCGGGCTTGGCTCGTCCTCGATGGCAGTTACCGAGTCATATTTTAGGTCCCAATTCAGGTGAACGATATCTTGATGTTGAAACCATTGTCCTGTGATCTTGTTGAAGGTGTCGTTGGCCTGAGTGGGGTGAAGCCTTTTATCCAGATAGCACCCGTTCTCCTGGACGACCTGGCGGGCTTCTCGGCACACCCTACCGACCGCTGGTGGCCCGCCATTGCGGCGCGAAGCATTGCGCATGTCACATAACCGCTGATTTGACAGCCAATGTGACAGGCTTTGTTGGCGTGTTGAGTACGGCGCGTCGAGTTCCGTGACATGGTCGGCGGGAATTGAGAACTGCCAAATCTTGAGGCGCAGCTCTGGAGGTAGCTGTTGGAAAACGGTGAACTGGGTCGCCATCCTGAAAAAAGAAGTGAGGGAATGGCACAAATTATTGATGGTTGATTGATAATCCGGTCTGAAATAAAATCTGAAGATGCTTTCAATTGTAGTCCGAGGAGACGGGAAATCGTATTGATATAATTTCCACCAGTCCTTAGGGTAGGAGAGGGTGTACTTGAAAGCGCTTGGACATTCGCGGCATGAGAAATGGCCTCGACCAGGGTACCTGTCAGTTTGACAAGGGTTCCATGGTTGCCTGGGCCGGTGGATACAGCATACCGCTCCACTCATTTGGCCTGGCCACGTTCTTTTGATCACAGGCCCCTCGTCATTTCCATCGTCTCACGCTGGGAGGTTGACTTAGAGGGAAGAATAAGAAATGCAGTGCTGACGTTTTCAGAAAGCACACTAAGAGATACACTTAAAGCACAAGAGGAAGATCTGCTGTGGTTGTGGGTTGTGCACCTCCATGATTCGATTTTACTTGGCCAAAAACACCAACTAGCTACTACTTAAAAATACATGAGAGTTAAGGAATTGAAAGAGCTGTATACATAATATGTTGTGGCTGATTTTGACAAAAGAGCAAAATGAGCCCTTATGCTGGACAATAGTTTGCCAACGTGGTCTTCGAATTGCTCTGCAGCCTGTCAAGCTGCTGAATTACACTGTAGTAGATGAGAGGTTCTTGTCAGTCTTCAGCAAATAAATTTAGAAATATTGCGGTATGTTCACCGAAAACAACTTACCTCGTATGACTTGCAGATTGGGCGCTCTTTGAAGTATCCACGAGATGGATATACGAGGCGCCGTTCATCCCGCTGTTCGGGAGAATCTGTACCGGGTCCAGCTCCGTCCACGTGGTTTTTCCATCAACTGATGAAGTGACGGTCTTAGTGAATGGCGTGTGGCCAGCCTGAGTGAAGCCGTTCTTAACGTTACTCAGCTCCTTGTCCCACTCGTCGGCCTCACGCATCTCTTTGTGACCCTCGACAGAAGTCACGAAACCTTTCCACATGTCCGAGGTGCCATCCCACGCATCAATGTCGACGTTCGTGTGTTGCAGAATTATTTGGCGAAGATAAACAATGTTTGCATCCAGAGACTTGATCATATCGTCAAATCTGTAGTTCGCTTTGGGGTCGGTGTACTTCGCTGGGAAGAGCTTGGTGGGGGCCTGTTGCACTGAATAGACCTTCTCTCCCAGGTTGGCCTGAATTGCCTGAACAGCCTTG